CGTGAATTTGGAATTACGCCCAAGTTAAACTAATTCCTTTTGAATCCAAAAAATTAATAAAATAGTTTGATACGTGCCACAACATTTCACCAACAAATTATGAACGTTTACCAAAATAAACATTACACACACCAAGCACCATCCACCATATTTAATATTTTTAACAATGACGTAATTGAGGTAACAAAATGCATTAACAAATCGGAAAAAGGCAAAATCATTAGAAAAAAATGCAATTTGACAGAACGCAGATACTACCTCTATGGATTATATTCGTAATTACTCATAAATTGCTAATGTGTGGATTCCCCGAACTTCTCTTTTTCGCAAGGAATAATGCATTAAATTTAAAATTGGCGTTATTTACTAATAATTGAGATAATAAATTGATTTATCTGAAAATGATACAAGTTGCACATAAAAAAACGTAAAAGATTGTAAAAAAGCTAAAACATGTTAATATAACAGTTGGAAAGAATTAGATATAATTTGAAAATAAGAAAACATTACAAATTGCTTTTTCTATGCTTTGTTCTTTATTCAATAAATTAAGGAAGAACTACAATTTGAATCCTTTTTATGGATATAATTGTAAATGTTAAAGTATGTTTATGCAACCCGTAAGATAAGTTAGTTCTGTCGGTTGCATAATAAAAGTTACTGAAATTTAAAATTATGAAATCTTTTTTTAATGATTTTATTCTCTTATAATTGTACAAATTCTTACATTCAACACAACTAAAATTATATCTACATAAAAATTATATTACGGTAGATAGGCATAAAACTTTTATATATCTACTTATTGGCAGTGCATAATATCACACTTTTTTAAATAATAAAAGTTTAAAGTAACATGTCTTAGTTTTCATTTCTTTTTCTCTCTCCCTATAATGTCACTTATCATTCAACATCCTTTTAATGTTTTCAGTTTTTATAATAAAAGCATAACACATAAGATGAACTGTAATAAATTATTACAAAAAAAGTTTGGCACAGATACAATACAATAATATTACTTCAATATGAATTAAGAGGTAACAACAGATTTGACCTTTTTTTGAGAAATTCCCCCTTTTTCCATACTTCATCGACATTTTTTACTCGTTTTTCGATAAAATATAGTTCGTTTTTGAAAGACCGCAAGTCGTTTTTGTAAAGTTCCTACAAGAAATATAAGCACAGTTATTAAAATCTTTTTTTTATATAATTATTTGGTAGTAAGAATCCTTACGGTTTCCTTTTTTATATTATCCATATCCTTATCCAGATCTTCGATTTTTGAATGTAATTTTTCGATTTCTTTAGAAGTTATATCGTCTGAGAGTTGTTTATTCATTTCCTAAGAAAAATAAATCACTTACTTTAACTTATTAATTAGACGGTTGCTGGGGTAAAGAGGGGTAAAATTAGGTATTAATATAATTTTTTTTTATTGGCAGAATTTGTGAAGGACGAACTTTACCTCTTCCAGTTTTTGAATTCTCTTGTCCAATTGCCCATATTCGAGTTCCTTAGCTTCGAATGAGGTACCATCGTCAGCGTCTTTTCGGCAAGATTGACCGTCTGCCA